AAAAAAAAAAAAAAAGGGGGGGTTACTGGAATCATTTCTGCAGTTGAAAAAGATCATTAAAAGGTACATACTATGCAAGACAAGAGGATGAGAAATTGTTAGAGAAGCAAATAATCTTATTCCCAGAGTAAAGAAGATGAAGTAAGAGTAAGGGTAGGTACCAAATATAAAGCACAGCCAGCAGGCATGTAGCAAAACTCTTAATAGGGGGGAAACCAACAGCACCGCAGAAAAATGGGGTGTCTGTCAGCAGGGGAACTAACTGAGACAGAAAGCAGACATCATCCCATGGGCTGGAAAGCAAATGTGTTCTCTCTTTCAATCTTTCCACACAAACAACGCTATGTGGAACAATGACCTGACAACTCTGCTACTGCACATTGAGTGAACGCTTTCCAAAACAATTATTGATTGTCTATGAATATTTAAAAAAGTATGTTACCTTTTCATTAAAATCTTATCGCAGTAATTTCTTTCGTAAACAAAGAAAGTGTCTGTTTCAGAAACCCTATTCTCAAGATCTTGTATTCTTGCAGGGAGGCCTGGGGGGACTTGGAGGGAGCACCAGTAGCTGTCCATCTATCCACCTATCCAGCCAGCAGTGATGCAGGGGCTGATGTGGAGCCTGTGCGCTCTGCTCTGCCTCTCCCTCTGGGAGGAAAGTTACTGCAGGAGCTCCAGGGAGGCCCGGAGGACCAAAGAGCCATCCCTCCACAGGAGTAAAAGAGCCCCCCTTGACCCTGATGCCAAAAAGTGTTCCTACACCTTCCTTGTACCTGAGCAGAGAATCACAGGTTCAAAGCATAACTTGTTTTTGTAATAAAGGATGAGTTATTCAACATATGGTCTTCATTTACTGTAACCATCACTTGCTTTTCTCAAAAATCAAAATAGCTTCTTGGTAATCACCTAAATAATTCATATCTGTCATCAGGTCCAATCTGTGCCAGCAACACAGGCCCTGAGCCGGACAAGGACAGAGTGACCCGTATGGACATTGCAGATGTGCGGGACGTTCTCAACAAACAGCGGCGTGAGATTGAGACGCTGCAGCTGGTGGTGGATGTGGATGGTAACTTGGTGAATGAGATGAAGCTGCTGCGGAAAGAGAGCAGGAACATGAACTCCAGGGTGACCCAACTCTATATGCAGCTGCTGCATGAGATCATCAGGAAAAGAGACAACTCTCTGGAGCTGGCCCAGCTGGAGAACCGTGTCCTCAATGTGACCTCTGAGATGATGCGACTGGCTTCAAGGTACAAGGAGCTGGAGGGCCGGTTTGCCACAATGGCCGGGGTAGTCAACAACCAGTCCATTCTTATCTCTGCACTGGAGGAGCAGTGTCTGAGGACACTGGGGCGTAGTGAGCTTCCCGTAGTTCCCCCACTGGTACAGGTGGTACCGCAAAATATACCTGTTAACAATCGCTTCACCAATGAGATACAGAGGGACAATAACAACCGGGCATTTCCCAGAGGATCACGCATGGACTCCCCTACTGCAAGCCCATTTGGGATTGACCCGCCACCACCACAGGGAACACTTACCTCTGATGGTATGTACCAATTATAACGTGGTAGGGGTTGATGGGAGAATAAGTAACAAACAATTACTAAAGTGCCATTGGCACAGTTGGCTCATCCTTGGCAAACTAAAGAGGCAGTGAAATCATACATTCCTATGATTCCCACTTGGCCGTCTGCATTGGCGGCACTGCAATGAGCATATGTACTAAATTAGTAGGACATGGATTAAGCCACTTTGAACAGCATTAAAAAGACATCAGAAAACAGAATATATATTTATTGCACATCATTAGTCAGATTTACATCCAGTCTATGCAAGAAATAAAATGGGCAAGGTATAGTGAAACAGAGCCCAATTCTAATGGATTTGTCCCCCAAGTCGCAGACCCCTAGACAATACTATCAAATTAGGTAAAAATCCTTCAAGATAGATTAGGCTCCTCCGTACATTTCTCACAGAGATTGACTAATTCTGACATCTGAGAAAGATCACCTCCAATATGAAACCAATTTGTAAGGTTAGAATGCTACTTGGAAATGACTCCTAAAAATTGGTCAGGGTTGTTGTGTTTTGGCGATTAGATCACGGTGGGGAATGTTGACATGGGTTATACAACCAGATTGTGAAATGGATGAAATCATTCATAACAACCCTTTGACATCCTACAGACAAAAGGGGAATGAAAGAATGCCTGTTTGAATACTGACAGGGGAGTCACTTAGTAGGGTGTCATAATATGTTTCACATAACAATGTTGACGTGAGGAATACTTCTACCGTATCTGACTGAAACAGATATTTACATCTCTGGTTAAATCCATCACAGCCACAACTTTATAGTAATGTGAAGGAGGTATTTAGTGTCTGATTTGAGATCTGAGCTGAGTGTTGCATCAAGTCTTAGTGTCAATTCTTGATCCTTCAGAAACTAAGTACAACAAGCTCTTCTCAGAACACTGAACTTACAACACCTTCAGCCCACATTAAGCACCAATAATGACAGGCCTATTTCAAGCTCAATCAGCAGAGAAGCAAAGGGGCTGTATTTTAAAAGCCTCCATGGAGAAAAAAAATCCACAAAGAAACAGAGATGGATTTAAAAGGAGAGGTGGTGAAGTGGTTGGGGGAGGTAAAAGGGCAGGGAGTGTTCTCATGGTTATTTCCAGCTCTGTAAAATAATTATCTACCTACTTTACAAAGCCCCTGTTGAACTGTAATTTTAGCGTTGTATTAGTCAATCATGGCTCATTAGAAAACTGAGAGCTCCAATTCCACAGGTCTCATCCGTATTATAGTTGAAACATTAAGCAAGAAGCTGCTGCTTTCACAGACTGCCAGAATCTAATTTCTGTCCATGACTGAAACAAAGCTCTCAATCTGGACACGCATGATTCATCTATAACCAAGAAAAACATCGCAAAGACAGGAATGAATCATTTTTGCTTTGGTGGCCGAGACGTCATCCTTCTAACCCTAACCCTTACTTATCAGGAAAAGAAAAACACATTCCCCGATATATTTCTACCGTTTGTCTCCATTAAAAATATTTACCCAATTCTTAGTGATAAAGATGGGTACTTCTCTCTTGTGATAAATTTATGAGATTTACTCCACCAATCCTTCAACCTAAAACCAAGTCACCAAAGACCAGTAATAGGCCCCCTTTCATTTAGGTTACTTCTACCACTGTAAATACACATTGCCTGACTACATTTGGTCTAGTCCTTTATAAACCACTATGGGTTAAAGTCTGAATATATTTTTAACCTCACCCCGTAAAGCTGTATTAGCAGAAACTAACAAGAAAGTAACAGAAAAAGAGATCAAGGGAATAAGTTAGAGAACCCGTCCCCAATGACAGGTCTGAAGACATATCCTTACTAGAAAAACACAAGCTTGTGCTGTGGAGCTTTAGAGATCTGTACTGAGGCATTACACTGGGTCCCTATGTGCTCCTGCATTCAGCTGAGAATACCATCTTACATGGGCCTTTAGGACCTGGAGGCCCCTACACAATGCTGGTGTTCATACTGGTTTAATAAATATTCTCACTGGGGAGAACAGAGGAAATATGATGGGTTTAGGTTCAGCAGCTTCATCTTTGGGTGCAGTGCTACCACATGTCTTCATTTGAAGACTAAGCCTTTGTGAATATCCATATAACAATTGAAATGTGCACATGCATGTATGTGTAACTTTAGACTGTAGGATGTTTGGATGGTCTGAGCAAAACAAGATATTTTCCAAAGAATGTAGCCACAATGATACATACACTCAAACCCTGGGGTCTAGCAGAAGTTCATTCCCAATTTTCTCTTGTCTACGGTCTAAAGCCCCCAGACTGATGATGATGACTTTTGCATATGCGATAAAAAAGAAGACATCTTGTTCAATACAACCCGCAGGGTGGTATATTAGTTCAGGGGGCTAAAACTGACTGTAATTCAGGCAATGGATGTAGTAGTAAAAAGTATGAGTCAGTAGATAGATATACCATATATAATGCCTTCAAGTTATATGGTCATTTCCTGTAGGCCTACAAATCTTGTTCTACAAACCCCAACTAATGTCACATGATCAGGACTTTAATTTTTTTTTTTTTATTGTCCAAAAATCATTTCCACTAATTATGAATCATATCGCAATGGCAAGATGATTTTCTTACCGTATATAATGGAGCTCTAATTCTCCCCTTTTTACTGGTGGTTATAAGCCAATTCAAAAAGTTGATGCCCCAAGGGGCTGGATGAAGTGAGACGAAGTCATAAGCAATATAAAATATTCAACTAAAAACACTTGGAAGAACATCAAGAATATTATTGTTGTGCAAATTGCAACAATGCATTGTAGACCATGGTGATATTGCAATAGAGATTTCTTTACATATTAAACATTTTAAATCAGAGCCACTAGCACAATCTCTATTCAACCATGTTTTTCTCCCCTTCCTATTTTTCGACAATTATCTTTCTAACCACAGGTCCCTTCAGGGACTGTTACCAGGTGCGGCAGGCAGGCCACACCACCAGTGGGATGTACCTGCTTAAGACAGACGGCAGTGATCGGTTGATCCAAGCCTGGTGTGAACATGGCCTGGACAACGGAGGGTGGACAGTGTTGCAAAGGAGGAGAGATGGCTCTGTTAACTTCTTTCGGAATTGGGAGAACTACAAGGTAAGTTGAGGGAACTCATATTTGATAGGGTGAAGGCAGGGTTTCAGGAGAGAATCTAACCAGAAATTTAAATCTGATTATTTAAGGGGAAGTATCAAAATATCTTTAAGCATGGGAGAGAACTGTATTGTTTCCTTTAACTCACAGCAGTTCATTTTGGGGCCACTAAGTAAGCACTTGCTCCATCAATGTAAACAGCTTAGCAATGGATTTCCTTATACTGAAATCACAGCCAAGAACTGTAGCCAGGGACCTACATACAAATATACGCAATCAGAGGGTGGGTTGAGAGGGAAATACAGCTCAACCCCACTGGAAATGATCTCTTCATCCTTTTTTTCCCATGTTTCAGCCATTGAAATTAAGATTGGATCCAGGGTCCAACAGAGCAAGCAGGGGAACGAGATGAAGAAACATAGTTTTTAATAACGTCTCAGTTTTCTCTATAAAAATATTTTAAAAAAATAAGGCAAAGGCAAGAGTTTTCCTCTCCGTCATGAAATTAGATTTAGAAATCAATGATTACATGCTGTTTGGATCAGGAACAGAAATGTCTCTTTGCAGCTCTGCATTTGCTGTATTCATCCAAGGAGCAGCTAAATCACCACTGCCCCTGCCATTCAACTAATTCATCTCGAGTGCGAAACCACAGATCACAACCTTAACACATTATCGTCTCAATGGGAAGCAGATTTGATTTCATTTGACTTGATTGCTGCCACCAGGCTCCTTTAAACTCAGCACTCTGCTTAGAAATCTTATAAACGTCACCCTGCTGTACTGCTTGTATTTTTTGGACAGGATTTGCCTTCACCGACCACAGAGGAAAAAGAGATCTGTTCTTTCACCAGTTAGCTAACCCACGGTGTCGACTAACTAAAATTAATTCTGCATTACATTGCAATGACCTTTTCAACAACTGAAAATGAATAACGACAGAACATGCTGTTGTGCTTGTCCCCTACAGAAAGGCTTTGGAAACATAGACGGTGAACACTGGCTTGGGCTGGACCATATCTACAACCTGGGGAAACAGGGTGACTATAAGCTGATGATAGAGCTGGAGGACTGGACAGGGAAGAAAGTGTACGCCGAGTACAGCAGCTTCCACCTGGAGTCAGAGAGTGAGGGTTATCGGCTGAGGCTTGGCACCTACCAGGGCAACGCCGGGGACTCCTTCAGCAGTCACAATGGCAAACAGTTTACCACGCTTGATCGTGACAAGGATGCCTTTTCTGGTAGGGGGATTTAAGATGAGCTCCAAATTCTTTTTGGGGTCTCATATTAGTAGTAGTGCAATGACACAACAGAGGGTAGTGCTTCTTATTTGTCTGTCCATCACACTCTTCTGGTTTTATAATGTTGTGTCTCTCTCCACTAGGAAATTGTGCCCACTTCCATAAGGGGGGCTGGTGGTACAACGCTTGTGGCCAGACCAACTTGAATGGTGTATGGTACAGCGGGGGAGTTTACCGCAGCAAATTTCAAGATGGAATCTTCTGGGCAGACTATGGAGGAGGTTTCTACTCTCTCAAATCAGTCCGCCTTATGATCCGACCGATTGACTGAAACCTTGGACTGTGGTTCCCTTTAAATGCACCCCCTTTTCCTTCCTTATCTGTATCCACCCACAAACAAATACTGTAAAGGCAGAACCCGGAATCCCTGCCGTCGTACAACAACGCCTTGTAAAATACAAAAGGAGGAAAAGACCGTGGCATGTGTTTATGGCCAGACACTAAAGACTCATGTGGTCTGCGCAGTGGCTAGCTCCCAAGTTGACTCTAAATTTGAGATGAAGACTGATGCCATTGCCCTTCCCAACTAACTGCTCTCCTCCACCTTTCAGTCTGGAAAGTAGTGGTCCATCAAGCTCCCTGGGACCATCAAGTATTACTATGTCCTATCTTATTCACTCTTGTTGAAACTCAGTATGTAATAAAGGGAAATAGTCATTTACTAAAGACATTAGATTTCTTCTGAGCAGCTAATGGTGACTTATTGAAAGTGGTGACGTCCATACCAAAGGGTACTGGACTTAATGAGATGTTTGACCTTAGTAGCATTAAAAATTATGCAATTTAAAGTTGCATTGCCAGTTAGAATACCTGACAATGCAATTTAAAGTTGCATTGCCAGTTAGAATACCTGACAATCAAACGGTTAGAGGACAGGCCTTGCTAAACCTACTGTCTACTTGTTTATGGGTTTTGTCTGGAGTTTTGTGTGGGGTTTCCTTCTACCCCAACAGAAAATGAACTTGTGCAACAATGTGCTTGTCCAATGTGCATGTGGCTGAGCTGGCTTTGGTATGTAAATATCTTTGGCTTTATTTGTGAAAAGGTAATTTAAGAGGTGTGATTCTACTCAGGCCAAATGTTCACAATGTTGTCACTCTGCCATTTTTTGTTATTTATCAGTGTATTTATAGTAAGTATAGTCACGGCCATTGTATATCTACCCCTGTAATAATACAATTCTTACTATTTTTTATCCCATTTTTATCCCAACACTTGAACAGAAGGACACACACACACACACA